CCAGGGACGACGACCCAAGATGAGACCCATATTCATCAAAGGAAACAACAAGAGTCCGGCCCAGCGGAGGGAGACTGACAACAGTATGCTGCGTAGCCACGACCCTCGAGCCCCCATCCAGCGTCCCAAGCTTGTCCCATGTCTCTGTATCAATAGAGGTGTCATGAATACTGTCATCAAGCTCATCTTCTTGTCCACCCATCTCCACATTATGGGGCATCGCTGACCCGAGCGCCCCGCCCGTCGGCTGCTTTGCCAAATCCTTGCCACCACCACTTGGTTTGGGTCCAATTCCCGCATCCCGTGGGCGACCAGCATTATCAGAGGAGGGGGGCTGCTTATCGGACGGGCCAGCTCCACTGGAGCCACCCTCACCAGTTCGTTTCGGGAGCCGCTCCACCTCCACCTTAATTTGGTATCCTTCCCCATTGAACCACACCTCCACATAACCATTGAGCTTGTCCGACGATTTGCATGCCAGCTTCGTTCTCACCGGCCCCAACCGGATGAGAGATAGCTCGTCCACCATAATGGGGCGCCCTCGCATCTTTAGTCCTTCCATCAGATGATCCACACAACGATGTTTCCTAGGGATACCATGGAGCCAAACCCACGTCTCCGGCATGACCAGTGGTACCACCTCCTCATGCAGGGACTCCCTCACCCACGCAGTTATGTCATTGATAGAGAGGAAGAGTTTTCCACTGGATTTGGCCATGTGAAGCAGGTCAGCCGAGGGAAAGATCACCGAGTAGTCATTGTCCCCCACCTAAGGTAACCCGTCTACACGATGCTATAGTGCAGTCTCGGCGGCGTCGGAAGGCATCCACTTGCCCTTGGTCAGCGACAGGGTCCTCGGCTTGGTCTTGCCGCCCTTCCCTGCGCCGGGGGCCTTTCCGCCCCTCATCTGACGGGGCTGGGCTGGTTTGGGGCCCATGCAACGTTTTGGGTACCGAGCAAATTTTCGTGATCTAGCGCGGTTACCGCGTTTACCGTTCCCCCTCGAGAAACACTCGTACCGAGCAAAATATCTCGAACATTTTAAAAATTTTGAATTCAAACGCTGACTCTCTAGTTAAATAGAAGCAATCTCTTCCTTTAGAACAATACAGGCAGTGGCGTAGTGGCAAAGGCATCCTTTCCTTACCAGCTAGTCGTGGGTTCGAGGCTGGCCTCTTGCATTTTTATTCTTTTTTACGAACATGGCGATCGAGGCACGGAGCATGTGGTGGAGTAGCAACAATGGAAGCAAAGGGGGAGAGGAAGAAGATGACTACGCGAGGGGAAATGAGAAGAAGTGGTGTTCCCCTTGGCATCTCCTCCTTAAGTTTCCTAGATGGGAGGTGGAATGATGGCAACGAATCTCTACCACGCGGCAGCAAATCCCTTCGATTTCCCACTAACACCGTTAAAGGCATGCGAGAATCAAGGATGTGCTGTTAAGAGGCGCACACCTGCCTGGCTTGATTAAACGTGTCATAGGTGGGGCCTCAACCCACTGACCCGGTTGCCTTGAACAACGGTCATCATGACCATATGGTCTAGTTCGATCGACTGGAGAAGCATCTGGTCCGGCCCGGTGGGACCATGATTGGATCAATTAAGACTCACAAAGTGTTGCGTGGGAATTTCGGGCCACAGAGGCCAGCTTGGTGGGAAGGCCTTCCACTAAAATCAACTTACTTCATCAACAATTCAAGACCGGACGAGGACTTTCTCTCGATAGGTCGGTCGACTTTAGGGAACATACGACCATATCTGGTCGGTGGCAGGACTTCACTTTCAGGAGAGCTTCGAAGAACCAGTTCCAACCTCACCGTGCGGATTGGGGATGACGTTCAAGACCGATATCGACCAGGAAGCAACCAAGCTCGGAGACCGGTTCAGGGGCTACTGACGATGTTACGGACCAGAGGTGCTCACCTTGCTGGTAGTCGACCCAAGTAGGACGCCCCGAGGACCCTTAGGTTGGTTTCTGCCCTAACCATCATGCCATCCATGGGCTCCGTATAAGGACAATTTTGGAAGCCTTGTTGTACAAGAAGGAAGCTGGATCTGTGGAGGACTACCCTCCACCAACATAGCCGATTAGGACCATGTAACCCTAGGGCTTCCAGCATCTTATATAAGCCGGGGCCAAGCTAGTCGGTAGACAGCTTACATTGAGATCAATCCCTCAATTGTACCTTGTACTCCGTACACCCCTCGCAATACAAACACGAGCAGGAGTAGGGTATTACCTCTATCGTGAGGGCCTGAACCTAGATAAATCCGGTGTCTTGTTTCCCCTTCAATCTATTCACCTAGTTGGGATACCATATCGATTGATCTATATGATTCTACTCTGAATGGGTAGATGTTGTGTATGTTGAAATCTGGAGGACGTGGGGATGAGAGATGTAGGATCATTACATAAATCTAATGGCTATTTTTTTTATATGGGCCATCGGATTAATGGTTAAATATTCCTGATTAAAGTAGAATTTTCTAGCTATTTTCTATTTTGATTGGTACTGTACTGCTAGTATTATTATATAATTGATAGAATGCAAAACAAAAATAAAATAAGATATCCGTTCATATATAGGTACATCCTAATATGGACCTTTACTCTTATTTATTCTCTTAAAGGCTCGGAAGAATTCCAAAATCCAATTTTATCATAAATTAGATTAATATAGTACATATTTTGTGTGACTTAAAAATCATATCATTAATAACTTCTTTTGAATACAAATTCTTTTTTTGCGGGTATTTTGAATACAAATTCAACGGTACGTATAATCTTGTTCACATATAACCACCTTTAGTTGGTCTAATTTACGGTCAATAATTAATTTTGAAATGTATGCACACCTTATTTATTGAAATGGAGGGAGTATTGGCTAAGAATAGAAATAGCATACGCGAGGTTTCAAAATTTATTCCGATAAACATATGTTAATCTGGGAAGTAGGAACATACTGTATCATATAAAGTACTTGACGATAAATCTAGACTAAATTTCTACCGCCCGCCCGTATGTTTGAAAAGACAGCATCGATCATACGTAAACCAGCTGTAGAAATCCCGGCCATCAGCATGTACGTCCGTCTCTCCCGAGCAAAGCTACGTCTACGGACAGATTCTTACTTACCGGTTAAGCTGATGTGGCAGGATTTGATTGGAGAAGGAAAGGAAAGGGGCCCACTCAGTAAAAATCAGGCGTGGTTATTAGTTGAGGTTGGAGAGGCTCGGTAGGTGTAGCATTTTGGGTCTCTCTTTATCTTCGTCTAGTTTCTTGTTCTTTCTTCTTCCTTCCGGTTCCCTTGTGAGGCTGCGAAGCCTCCGCGGGACTAGATACAAAGGGCGAGGCAGCCGCGGAAGGATACTACAAAGAGCTAGCGCGCGAGAGGGAGAGACGACAGTAAGGATATTCACGATGACGACGAGGAAGAGGAGACGAGACGACAGACGCGGCGCCCTCGTTGCCTCCGTCCGCCTCTTCCTCCTCCTTCTCCTACCCTCTGCCGCTTCGTCGTCCTCCGCCTCCTCCAGCTCCCTTCGGCAGCAGAGCAAGATCATCACCCATCTCCCCGGCTTCGACGGCCCGCTCCCCTTCCAGCTCCAAACGGGGTACTACTACCTACCTCTGGCTTTCTGCACTTAACCAATTGATTTATGAATTTCTCGTCTGAGTGACGCATCATGCATGCATCGCATCCCGTCACATCACAGGTACGTCGAAGTGGACGAGAGCAATGGCGTCCACCTCTTCTACTACTTCATCAGGTCGGAGAGGAACCCGGCGGAGGACCCCGTCATGATCTGGCTGACCGGCGGGCCAGGGTGCTCCGCCTTCTCCGGCCTTGTCTATGAGATTGGTAGGTAACCGAGCTCTTCAAGTCCAGAACCATCGTCTCGTCTCGATCCGTCTTCCTTTTTCTCTTCCATTTTTGGTGACCGTGCATCTATATCTGTCGCAATCAAACTTTTCATATGTATCCACGAAAACTGCGACTTTCTTTGAGGGGGACGAAAACAGCAACTAGTACCGCTCGGTGTGGCTTTGTCCACATGCCTTCTGCCGGGAAAATATCAGGTGCTCCCACACTTTAACTGTTTTCATCATGCTTCAAACTTAAAAAAATAAATTAGGATGTTTGAAAAAATAAAATATTTTTTTCGCGGGTGAACAAAATATTGTTTTTGAATGTTCACAAGACATTTTTATATAATCCCTAAAAAGTTCAGACGCAAATTCGAAATACACAAGGAGAAACAAAGAAGACAAATCTGCATGAATAGTGTCACAGACAAAAGCAAAAGATGACACTATTCGCACCCATATTTCTCTTTTTTGTTTCTTCATTTGTATTTCAAATTTAGATTTGAAATTTTTAGGGAATGTGAACACATGTCTTATGAACATGCACAATGTTTTTATTTTTGGGGAAAATGCTAGCATGGGAACATTTGAGTTTTGGGAGCACTGGATATGCACTTACCTTCTAGGTGCCTCGAAGCAAATCCACTTCTACTACTGCTTGAATGGAGAGTTGAACATTTTGCAAAGACAATGCGCTCATGTAGCACTAGCCAAAAATGTGCAAGACATGCATACACCTTTTATATATTAAGGTCTCAACAATCAAGTATATATGTGCAGGCCCTCTGAGTTTTGATCGTCGCACCGACGTCAATGGCTTTCCCAAGTTGATCTACAAACCAGACTCATGGACCAAGGCAGGTTTCAGTCTCAAACTCTTCTTCATTCTTACTATTTTCATGATTCTGAGTCGCACATGGATCCCTCCGTCTCCCAGGTGAGCAATATCATCTTCATCGATTCCCCCGTTGGAACCGGCTTCTCGTACTCCAAAACAGAGCAAGGATACAAATCAAGTGATACCCAAGTCGTCACCCAAATTGTCATCTTCATCAGGAAGGTCCCACTTCCTCCTCAAATCACCCAACCACCACTAGTACTAATTAATTGCAAATGCTTATTGTTCTTGCATGTACGCGTTGCAGTGGTTTGATGAGCACCCAGAGTTCATGTCGAATCCTTTCTACGTTGCCGGTGATTCCTACTGTGGTATTACTGTGCCAGGCATCACCCTTGGAATAGCTAAAGGTAACTTTTATACATGCACAAGTCTTCTCTCCTCTATAAATATTTCATTTTCTTGTCCGAATAACTGGCTGTATAACTTCTAGGGATAGAAGATGGCAGTGGATCAGCTCTCAATCTAAAGGTTTGAAGCCAAAAAAAAATCTGCATGAGTACCATGTTATGTATATGGATTTTTTTCCCGTCCCGCCTGTAGTACACAATTTTCAAATTTAGATTAGCTTGAACTTTTTCTCTCAATTTGGAGATGGTCCAGGGCGGCATTTGCCTGCCGTAGTTCCTAAAAAAGCTAGACTATTTTGAACTATTTTCCTCTCAATTTTGAAATGGCCCAGGCCAGCGTTTGCCCACCGTAGTTCCCTGCCGTAGTTTGAACTTTTTTCCTCTCAAATCGGAAATGGTTCTGGTGGCATTTGCCCGCCGTAGTTCCCTTGAAAAAAGTTTGATTAGTTTCTTACTTGCCTGCTAATTTGGCATGTTATGACCAGGGCTACCTTGTGGGGAATCCAGTCACAGCTTATTGGTACTACGATAATCCAGCTAAAATTCCATTTGCACACGGGAAGGGTCTCATATCTGACGAAATGTACCAGGTACCATTTTTTTTTTGAAAGGGAACTTGCTACTTGCATCCATGTGTGATCCCTCATCTATTAAGTCAGTTTTTTTTTATAGAAAATCTACCGCAAAAAAGTTGTAGCTTTATGTTTGTCTTTGCAGTTTACTTTATTACTATTTCACGTGTTGATTATTTCCAGGAGTACAAGGAGAGCTGCAGTGCATGGGAATTCAGCCCGGAGTGCACAAAAAGTCATGCTGCCATCGACGAGGTATCCAATTATTTTGCAAAGCAACGTTTGCCTTTCATTTCTCCCAATTAGCGAGTCAGCATGAGTCAAGTTGTGTGTTTGTGAAGTGTGTCAAGGATATATGCCCAAACCACATCCTGGAGCCCCTGTGCGCTTTCGCGAGCCCGCACCCATACAATCTGAAACTGAATTCAAGCGCACGAGAGATGCTCCAGCTGCAGGAGGACTACACTGCCAGGGCCGGGCTTCAGCTGTCTGAGATTTCTACAGAGTGTAGAGTTAGTAACAAATCAAACAGTGCTTCCAAATTTGCAGCACAATGTTTTCTTATCTGAGAGTACTTCATATTTCATCGCAGACCGCGGAATATGCGATGTCCATGATATGGGCGAACAATGACACTGTCAGAGAGGCTCTTGGTGTCCACAAAGTAATTGACGTCTGAATACGCATTGCTACTTCCTGCTTGGTATGGTGGTATGGTTGATCATGATATTCTTAAGTACATTGCAGGGAACGGTTTCTTCATGGCTAAGATGCAACTTCGACATACGGTACACCAACGATATTTTCAGCTCGGTGGAGCACCATCTGGATGTGACCACCAGAGGCTACAGGAGCCTGATCTACAGCGGCGATCATGACATGATTGTACCTTCCATCGGCACGCAGGCCTGGATCAGGTCTCTGAACTTCTCCGTTGTGGATGAGTGGAGACCGTGGTATGTCGATGCACAAGTTGCAGGGTGAGGACTGGTTTGCTTGTCCGTCATATGGGTGTTGCAACTGAAAGGGTCTAGACTTGTTCTGATGCTCACAAGCAACTTTTTCTCATGAGCAGATATACAAGGTCATACTCAAATAACCTCACCTTCGCAACTGTCAAGGTATGCCCTTGGTGTCTTCTCTTTGCTACGCCAAATAAATGTATAATAGTAATATTTTTGTTTGTGAAATAGGGCGGTGGACATACTGCTCCGGAGTACATGCCAAAGCAATGCCTTGCTATGTTTGCAAGGTGGCTTTCTGGTGAGCCTCTTTGATGGTGTACATGCAGCCTCCGGTGGTGGTTACTTTGTGTTTGTGCCTTGGAGCTACAACAATAGTTGTTAAAGCTTGATTCACAGATGCAAATGAATGTTATGTTCAATGTATAACAATGGGGGGATATGACTGTGTGCATCGCTTGATGCAGAGGCCGAGGATAATCCTCCTTTAAAAAAAATAACAATGGGGGGATGTTCACTGGTGGAAAGAAAAAAAGCAGAAAAATGTTGGTGGGCGTGCTTCGGTACACCCCCTATATGATGATATTATATAGCAGTACATACATAAATCTATAGACCGGTATCTATCTGCCTCCGTAGATAAGACTCCATCCAACGACCGCAATCCATTTGCATCCCATTTATTAAGTAATAAAAGATACCATTGCATTAATAATAATATTCCTTTCACCCTGCAGTCATTATGAGGACAACAAGTTATCAATAATTTATCTTTGGTGAGGTAGATTCATCTAAGTTATCTCTCTCCTACAGATACAGTCATCGAAAGTATTTCACCAATAAGTATCTAGTAAATGGGCACTCTAGAGATCTCGACAAAGATATATAAGGATACTAAAATAGACACAACCATACACATATACCTAGATATCACAATTAAGACAAAATAATCTTTAAGTCATGTGATTTTTCTTTCATTCATAATTTATAGGAAAATTTAGTTTTACCAAATTTCTTTGAGGTGTAGTGCCTTAAAATAAAAAACAACTGCCTTCACTTTGCATTAAAATATTATCTTAATTTTGTACAAGTCTTTTGTCATTATTAACATTAGCAACATTATTATGCAGTTAATTTTGCCAAGTGTAATACATACATGTACATTATTTAAGATCTTATATTAAGAGAATGAATTACATGACTGATATGTACTATATTAGAAATAAAATAATAATTACAATTCTCTAATTTAAAGAGTAAAGTTCTTGGGTTGGTTAATGTGATATATTACCCATCTAATAATATAATCTAATATCGGTTGGGAATCATGACTAACAAGGTTGTCGGTTCACTTTATAAGCTAAACTTGTTATACTCCGTGAAAAAACATGATCTTGGATCTTGACTTGGGACAAGGTCCAAAGGGAAAAATGTTGGAGAGCGAGCACCACTGAAAAAGTGTGTTTTAAGTTGAAATATAGATTTTTTGTATAATGTGTCTTGCATTTTCTTTGTTTTTTCTAATATCTAATGTGATGCAATACATTTTGGAAATCTAATATTTCAATGAAATTTTAAACTGATAGCAGTTGCTCTTTGTTCGGTGATTATAATTTAGGACATCAAATTGCAGTTGTTTGTCATAACACTTGGCCACATGCAAGTGCCAACACAATGTATGTTCAATGTCCATATTTCACTGATTTATGTGGAGAGTAGAACTGTTGTGTCATCTAATCCACGCACAAGGCTTTGGCCACATTGAACAAGTTGCTGCTCTGTTTTCAAAAAAAAAATTATCTCATGGATTGGCGGTCTTGCAAGTAATGGTTGTGCAGGCAAGGCCCTTGCACTTGTAGTCGAGATGTTGACACACCGGGTACTTTTGCGTTTTGTGCTTCATGCTTGCGCTACTTCAGCGTCTCGGAAATTGGAAGGGTGATTCATGGTTGTGAGTCCTACAAGTGTATGCCCAACACTTTAAATTTGATTACCTAATCGTCCGTGCGTTGCAGCAGGGGCATACATATTCTAGTGATCCTTCCGTTCAACTTGGATGATACTTTCAAAAATTAATGTGATCCTCCCGTCCAAGACTTGATGCTCCCCTCCAATGATATCCTTCATAATTAATGTGATCCTCTGGTCTAATGCTTGATTGCTCGATGATATTTTTCATAAATTATGTCATGACTTATTGACATGTGTAAGCAACTGCTTGACTAATTAATAGCATGCGGTTGTGATGAGGCAAAGTTGGTAAAAGATAACTGGGCTGATTTTTGCTTATTAATGACTGTGTCAACCGAACAAAATGACTATGAACTCTCCTTTAATAGTAGAGATGGATACGCATCTAAAGTGTGGTGACGTTACGGGCTTCTTCATAGTCTGAAGATGTTGGACCAATACTATGCGGTATTAGAGCACCTTAGTAAGAGTATCTCTAACCGATTTATCAGAGGAGAATACGGCCGAGTATACTCTAGAAGAATACATTTTGAGAGAATATGCGGTGTTTGCAGGCCCTCCCCTCGCCTAGGCTCCCTCCCCTCGCCTAGGGTTTCTGCGCCGCCGCCGGCGGCTCCCCCGCGCGGAGCCGCCGCTGCGGCCGAAGCCCGTCGTCGCCGCTCCCTTCTCCTACTCCCCCGCTCCTCCCTCCTCCTCCTCCCGTCCTTGTACCCCCCGCGTCGCCTCCCCGGGCGAGGCGACCGGGGGGCCCCAACGCCGTTCCCCTCCCGCGCGCCCCCAAGCTCCTCCCCCTGCCGCCGCCAGCGCGCCGCCGGGCCTTGCTCGCGTGGTGCCGCCGCCGGCGGGCCTGCCTGTCCCCGCGCGCGGCTTCCTCTGCTCGGGCGATGGTGGTTGGCGGCGGTGTTCCTCGGCTGGCGATGGTGCGTCCTGGTGGCGGGGTCCGCGGGGCGCGGGCGTGTCTGATGCGGTGGCGTGGCCGTTGGCCGCGGGGCGCGCGGCGGTGCGGCTAGCCGCCGGCCCTCGCTCCGCCCAGATCTGGGCTCTTCTAGGCTCCAGCTGGGTTGGGGCGGGCCGGCGTTCCGGCGTGCGGCGGCGTGGCTCCCTGGCGGTGGTGGCGCGGCGTCGAGGGATGCGGGTGGTGGCGGCTTCGTCGGCCGAGGTGCTGCAGCGTGGCGGCAGGGGTTGTCCGGATCTCTGGGGTCCGGCCGGGCCTGTGCGGGCCTGATAAGCTCCTGTCGTCACGTCCGGTCGGCTCCGCGTCGGCGGTGGTGGTAGTTCCCTCCCATCGGCTGAGTTGCGGCTTCCCCCGAGCCCGTTGGCCCCTCGTCCCTCCTCCAGGTCTCGTGCCGGTGGCTCAGCGAGACGGCGTTGATGGTTCAGTGACTGTGGTAGCACATGTTGGTGGGCGACAGTTCTGGTGGAGCGCTTCTGATCGTCCGGGGTGGTGGTAGTTGTTTGGGTTGGGAGAAATCCCTGGTGGCTTGTTCATCACCGACGTGGTGACGCCTGCGGGCGCCGCCGGACCTTCCTGAAGGGCGTCGGATCTGCCCCTTCCCCACTGCCCTCTGCGTACCGGGGGAAACCCTTGGACTTGTCTGGGCAGCAGTGTCGTCGTCGTCGCATTCCTTCCTGAAGGTGCTGCTCGGTACGCGACGCCTCGGAGTGCTACAAGCGTGGTGGTACTTCTCTGGTGGGTGCAGCGGTCACTGGCCATCTTTGTTTCGTCAACCTGTCATTGTCGGCATTTGTTTCTTTTTCTTTTTCTTTTTCTTTTCTTTTGGGCGTGCTTGTGCTGCTTCCGCCCCAGCACCTATCGTGGATTGTATCAGATGGTTGCTTTGTAATACAAAGCGGAGGAAAACCCTTTTTCTTCATAAGAATACATTTTTTCTTTTAAAAATGATCGTTTCTAACTGATCCTCAATACTTAGCAGAGTAAAAAAAAATAGTGACACATAAACACAAATTCAGTCCTAATTTGGTTCAAAGTACCACATAAAACTTACTAAAATGCAATTCGGTGCAAATTAATAATATTTTAGATAATTTAACCAATATATAGACTAGAAGTTACTAAAACTACTTGTTATCCGACTGTTCTTGAGTCTCTTCCAATCCGATCTGCTCAAACCTTCGATCATAGGGTCAGTGTCGCTGGAGAGGTCGATGACCTTCGTCCTCCCTGCAGTGTACTCCTCCTACGGACGCTGCTCCGCCTCGATGCACGATGTAGGTACCGCTGCCTTGCTCCGCCGCGAGGCGCTCGTCGGCCTCCCGGTATTCCCGCATCTCCCATGGGGTGGCCACCTGGAGGTTGGCCGACTCCAATGGAGGCAGGCCTTTGGAGAAGTTGTGCCGGTCGGCGGCAACATAGAGATGCACCGAGTTGATGATGTATGCACGCACTTGTCATGTTGTCGTCGTATATCCACCCACGTCACCCACCAGTGCTGCTGCACGTCAATATAATTTGGCTCTGGCGGCTGCAGAGGCAGCAGGTCGGGGATGGGGGATGCGCCGACGCGGGAGGATGCAATCCGGTTTAGTGATCCCGTTTAGCAATCAAGTCTCAGTCAATGCTCCCTCGTCAATTTGATGAAATCTCAATCGATTTAGAGCATCTCGAACAGCTGCGCCAAAAGACGCGCGTGCGGGGTAAACCAAAATTTTAGCGCGCGCCGAACGTTTTCGCGTGCTCCAGCGGTGGTGGGAAACTAGCGCGGGGAAAAGCGGCAGCTCCCACGCTAGATTTGACGCACCGCGTCCGGCGCGTCTATCTCTACTCCTAATGGACGAATTGGTTGAATAGTCCCCCCCACTTTCAACCGGTTTATTTTCAACCGGTTTATTTTCAACCGGTTTTTTTCCATCAAATGACCCCCACCTCCACGCCCACCCACCGAAACGCGCCCAGCGAACCGGGGAGAGATCCGTTGATTTGGCTAAGGTAGGAAAAAATCTATTATTTGTTTGCTAAAGCAAATTGCATTAATGGAAGAGATCCGTTGATTTGGCTAAGGTAGGAAAGAATCTATTCTTTGTTTCCTAAAGAAAATTTGCATTAATGAGAGAGATCTGTTGATTTGGCTAAGGTAGGAAAGAATATATTATTTGTTTCCTAAAGCAAATTGCATTAATGGGAGAGATCCGTTGATTTGACTAAGGTAGGAAAGAATCTATT